ACACACACACACACACACACACACACATACACACACACAGACAGTAGCTGGTACTTATGTTAACTGTCCAGGGTTTAGTATGTACCTGGTGGGTATAGGTGGAAGCATGTACCTAATCTGACACTTTCACTGCTATTTTTTTTTTCAACATGTGGAAAAGAATCAGATTGATTTTCTTATGAACCCCATGGGAAGATGGGAGGTCTTTAGTCTGTCCTCTTCTGGAGGTAAAGTAGCAAACAGCACACAGCTAGCTCTCGTGACTTGAGCTGTGTCAGCCCTGGTGCTAAGCTTGCTAAGCCATATACCTGAGGCCTGCAGGCAATTACGGGCACATGGTAGGTGCAGAGTTCGATTTAGATGTACTCTCTTGAGTTTCTTTTCATTCTTTAGATTCCTTAGTAGTGACATTTTTCCATTTTACCTATTATAGTTGTGGACTAAAGAAAATTTTTTTACATATTTCTATGTATTTGGACTTCTAGGATGAGCCATTGTTCAAGTTGCATCATTAGTTATGAAATATGACATTTGTCTTCTAAAGCCATTTATTCTCCTGAGTTTGACAACACAGCCTGGCTGGGTGAGGAAGGAGCCAGCTGGACCACTTCTGGGCCCTTTGTAAAATTTGTTATCTAATGTGGTAGCAGGTGTCTTCCGAATGGCTCTAGCTTATGCTTGCCCAATGGCCTGGTGATTGATTCTAGGGGCACCAAAGAGGCTGATTTTAGCAGCAGAGGTAAATATAGTTTGGATGTAGATGTGGGAGGTGGCAAAATGGTAAAACTATCCACCTTTATCACTGCTCAGACTGTCTTTGAAGATAAAACTCTTGGCTTAAGCGGAAGAAGTAAAAGAAAGACCTTTAATGATTTCCTACAGCCCTCTACTGGCCCTCATCCTATCTGAGGCTGCAAATAGACAAAGTTTAAATATTTCCTTCCAGTATTTTAATACTCTGTTAGGATAATTCCCCCAGTGGCCCACTTTGCTTTCTTGATATGTCCTGTTGCACTATTGTAATTTGCAGCTACTCGTACTTCAAAACAGTAGCTTTGGGACAAATTGCAGGGGGTGGGAGGTTGCAGAGGGATAACATGAGGAGAATTGCCATATATAGGTGATGGGGGATGGAGGCAGCAAACCACATTGCCATGTATGAACCTATGCAACAATGCATGATCTGCACATGTACCCCAGAACCTAAAGTACAAAAAAAAGACAGTTTTTCCTGTTTTTTTCTTCCCCTCTTCCCTAAGATAAGAGAGTGCTAATAATTCTCTAAGTTATAGCATATGTCAGGATTTTAAATTAACACATTAATAAAGGAACCAATGGGGAAGACATAAGAAGAGTTTTCCCCAAGTTCTTGCAGGAAATGTGTATGTGTGTTTGTGTGTGTGCATGACTAGAAAAATAAAAAATGCTAGACTAAATACAAACCTGGTTAACCTTCTGCAAGGCAATCGAAGTATAACTCCTTTGTTATACTTGTGGAGTATTTCTCTACCAGGCTACAAAAACCCTATTCGTATCTGCAAACTACCTTAATTTTACAGGACTGCAAATCATTGCGCTTTATCAGTTATGGATTGTGGGTCAAATATCCTGTGACAACAAAATAACATTTCTCAAGAGTAGAAATTAGTTGGAAATTGCTGTCACCTGGCCATTCAAAGAGTGATGCTTGACCCAGCAGCATTGGTGGCACTGGAGAGCTTGAAAGAAACGCAGAATTTCAGGCTTAGGCTCCACCTTAGACCCTCACAATCAGAACTTGCATTTAATAAGATGCCGACATGATTTGTGTGCACATTAAAGTTTAAGAAGGTTGCTCTAGAGGGAATGTTAAAAATCAAGCAGTTGCTATTTTTACACTTTTCAAGTTTCAGATATATTTTACTTTCATGATACTTGCCACATGCCAGAGTAGTATCGGGGTAAGCCCAGGTCTCAGCCCTTGGAATGATTCACCAGTTCTAATCACTGGGCCTAAAATGACTAAATCCTTTCAGCAAGTTCCAGGCAGGCTGTGTTCAGCCAGTTTAGTGCAGTAGATCTCTTCTCCTGCTTCTAGAGGAGGCCTTGGAATTAGGGTTACTGTAGGAAGTCATCAGGGAGCTCGGTTTTGGGCCTGGTTCTGCCATGGTATGTGCTGGGGCTTGACATGAATTATTTGCACTAATCCTCACTAAATTCAGATGAGGAGGCAGCACCACCCTCATTTCTCAGAGAAGTGCCCAAGAGCACGTGACTAGGAAGCACAAAGGTGGGAATAGAAATCTGGCACGATTCCAAATCCCTTTTTCCTTTTGTGTGACTTCCATCACAGAGCCAATAAAGTTCATAGTTTTCTGAACTTAGTTCTTCAAATCTCCTTTTACCTCTAACATTTTTGAATTCATTGATATATTGAACTCTTCTAACCCTCACTGATAATGAAGAGAAATCCTGTCAGATTTACTAATAATCGACATCAACTTCATACCATTGCTAGCACCAATAATTGACTTCAAAACTCTGTACTTTGAGTATCCAGCTCCCAGTTCTAGCTTATCATTTATTACCGTTTTGCAAGTAGCTTCTCCCATTATCTGCTTCTCCCACTTGAGAACACTTTCTGGGGAAAAGAATGGGAAACTGTGTCTTATTTATGTTTATATCCCCAGAAGCTAGTAGAGTCATTTACATATGTTTAGTGCTTGATATATGTTTATTGAACTAAATTAAACCAGCAGACATGGCAACTGCATCAGGAAACTCCCCAACTGTAGGACTCAGTTGTCCAAATTTATCTGTAATATAAATCCATCATTCTGTGTATATCCTTACATTTTTTCCATAAAATAAAACTACCATTCCATTGCACACTGGAGGATTTGTTTCACATATCAATTTTTTCAAATAGGCACGTGTCTTCTGCTCTACATTCTTCCGACTGAGGCAATCAATAATGCTCAGCTGAACAAAAATTTGAAAGAGGTATAAGTGATAAGCGAATTAAATGGCAATATGAAAACCATCGATCTGTTTAGAAATGATTGTTTCAAAAAAGGAATGTGTCTGTATAGGGTTGACTTAGGTCAGGGGTTCTAAACTAGGAGCCACTTTTCAACCTCCTCAGAGATATTTGGCCATATCTAGAGACATTTTTGGTTGTCATAACGGGTTGGGGAGAAGACCTAATGCATTCTTATTGGTTGATTGCTTGGCTGGGTACATGGCTTCTGATACCTTCTGCATGTCCACAATTGAATAGTCATTGTCTAATAATAACCAGAGGCACCACAAATCCCCGAACAGAGTGCGGCTTTTTCAGGACCTTCTCTTTCCCTCAAATCCTGGGCTCTTCACCATCATGTTATTGATCTGTTTATGTTTATGCTCATCACACATAACTAGACCATAAATTTCTTGCTTCCAGAGACTATATATCTTATTTCACCATACCCACATTGGCCAAATTTCTTATAATTCTGCCTTAAAACACTTCAGCATTCAGGACATGCTAATGATGCTTTATTTTTGGAATCCAATGATTAGATTGTTGGTCCTCCTTAAATAGTCTCAATGTTAAATTGCAACTAACCAGAATATGAAGTGACCCAAATTGTCTACTCTCTCTCGAATTTGAATAAATTAGGATTCATGGTACTTTGTATTCAGGTTTGTGTTCTTGAGGTCAGGTTCTTGATGTAACTTAAGCTGTTTAGAGTTAGAGAAGAACTCCTTAAGTTCTATTTTCTTCCTTGATTTCCTAGCTTGTGAAGATATTGCTCTTATCTGAGAAATAAAATAGAGACTTCACTCATACACACAAAAATAATCAAAAACAAAAAATGAAAGCTGATCTGTTCAGGTAGATAAATTGTGATTGGTATGCATGATTGGAATTTGACCTTTAAAGAATTTTGACAGTAGGATCAGCCCTCCGTAAGTTTGTGACATATGTAGAGGATGTGTCTGGCACTCAACTCCTTAATTCCCTAGACATCCTATCATATGTCCACTGGCCCCTCCCAACCATGATCTCTCCCCACCTTTATCAGAAGTCACTGATGTCTGCACCAGAAGGAACATCTAAGGAGCAGTTACTATTCTGGTGCTGAGCAACTGCCTGCCCATGCCAGAAACACTTGCATTTTAAAACAGAAGCTCAAAAAAGGAATAACCAACATGGGATTTTAAATATCAGATGATTAGGGTTGAATAGATTTTTGAGGAGACTTTTCTCAGTGTCCCTCAAGTGACACTATGTTTAAGCCTGAGGAGATAAAAACAAGCACCAAAAAGACCTCAGGTTGGAGTCCTGTGAAATGAGAATAGGATTTTCAAAAATTCATGTTTAAACTTTTGTTCTCATTATTTCCTGTTCCCAGCTATCAACTGGGAACAAGTACCTTGAGCTTCTAATAGAGGAAGAAAGACAGCTTTTAAGGCTGTTTGATCTTTGCAAGCTTACATCATCCCAGGAAGCTTAATAATAGAGAAACTACAAATAATTTAATTTTATTGGTGCCAGGAATTGGTTTTCTTTGAGGATTTTTCTGGTCAGAAATTTAAGTTCAAAAGCAGTCTAGAGAATGCACTTTGGAAAGGTCGTAGTATCTCTGATGGTAGCAATACTTAAGTAAGCCCTTGCTATGTGTGTGGCCCCAGCCCGAACACTTACTCTTTTCAAAAATCCAAGTCTGGATTACATGACTTTGGGCATTTACATTTCTGTTAAATGACCTTACCAGTGGGTTACTCTTTTACTATTACCTCCATGTTCTGGATTAGGAAGCTGAAAGTCAAAGCAAGTGAATTCTAGAGCCAAAGCTTGAACCCACATTGCCTGGCTGCATGTTTCTCAGCCTCTTGCTGTATTGCTTTTCCAGTCATATCCAGGCTGCCTCTGCTGTCTTCAGGGAGTTTTCTCACTGAAGGGAGTGTCTACGCAGGAGGTAAATGAAAGATGATTTGCTAAATATGCTAATGCAGCTTTTCTTGCTTTCCAGGTTTTGGAGGTGCCATGGGTTACCTTTTGGGTGCTATAGACTGGGCCCATCTGGAACTGGGAAGACTGCTGGGTACAGAATTCCAGGTCATGTTCTTCTTCTCTGCGTTGATGCTCACTTTGTGTTTTATTGTTCATCTGTGCAGTATCTCTGAAGTCCCACTTACAGATGTTGCAAAGGGCATTCCCCCACAGCCAACCCCCCAGGACCCTCCATTGTCATCAGATGGAATGTACGAATATGGTTCTATCGAGAAAGTTAAAAATGGTTATGTAAATCCAGAGCTGGCAATGCAGGGAGCAAAAAACAAAAATCACGCTGAACAGGTAAAGATGAAAAATTTTTTTCTTTACATGGGAAAATATTCTTGCTCTTTCTTCTTCTTTTTCAAAAAAAAAATTCTTTGTTTTGTTTGTGTGTTTGATGTGAAGAGTTTCGTGGAGTCTAATGGAATTCCCAAATCCCCAGTAGCTATCATCCCTTGGAATTAAAATTTTGTTTCTCAAAGAAAAATGTCTGCATTTTCCTCTGGTCCTCCTGTCTCCTACTTCTTTCAGCGTGTCCAGCCATGGAAGATGAAGCCAGTTGAGAAAGGTTAGCCCACAAGAGAAGCCTAAAGTCATCCTTAGGCCAGTGTAGGGAACCAGCCCTACATTACCTGTGGGTACCCTGAGTTTGGTGGTGACAAAGGAATGAGAAAAAGACAGAGTAAGAGAGAAAGTGGGACCAGGGGGCCATCACTCAATACTAGAGGAGACAGTGAAGGCCCGGAGCTCTGATCATTCACACATTTATTGACTACAATCACTTTGATCTATAGGGTAGGGGTGGAGTGATGGTGGAGTGAATCAGTGAGTCGTAAGTGAATCATGAGCCAGAACTGGTGTGTCATCCTAAGGATTGATAATAGTGGAGGTTTGGGAGTTTTGCGAAACAAGAACATGGGGTTATCTTTAGCTTGTTTTCTATGTACAGCTGGTGGAACGCAGACCTTCCAAGGAGCCTAGAAGTCTGGCTACGTCATAGTGCTATGAAGGGGTTTTACGTCCTTGAGCACAGTGTTTATTGTAACAGAGCCTAGGTCACCCTGAACCAGAACATGAGGCATGGAGAGGCCTTCCTCCTCAGAGGCCTCCTGCGGCCTTCTGCAGTTTGTTGTTCCTTGTTTATGTGTTATTCATAACCAATTTATGTAGGCACTCTGTAAGTCCTTTCTCCTTTGCTGCTTTTCCCAGCAGGCCAGAAGAAATACCTCTTAGATTAGGATCATATATTAGAAATTTTTTCCTCCAAACGGTAGCATCCTTGGGTTGGTGACTGAGTTGGACATACTGAATTTGCATGTTATGAGTTGAAAGGATACTTTAGCTCATTTTCAGTGAACTGCACAGTAAATTCATCAGCTTAAAATTTGAAATAGTACTCAACTAACTGCCAGAGAAATGAGACCACATTTAGATGAAATGATCAGAGAAGAGACTAGAATTAAGCTGAGCAATATGGTAGCTAATAATCCCATGGGACTATTTAAATAAAAATAAAAATAGAACTTCATTTCTTTAGTTGCATTAGCTCAATGTCATTAAATGCTCAATGTCCCCATAGGACTTGTAGCTAAAATATAGGAGAGTGCAGATGTAAGGCATTCTCATCATAGTAGAAAGTTCTTTTGGGCAAAGCTGACGAAATAATTGCATTTTCCTTCAAGCTAGGATTGAATGCCAACACCTCAGGGATACAGAACAAAGGATTCCCTGATTGACAAAGAGGTTGTAGAAGACTTGGGTGCAAATCTTGCTTCCTCTAGCTGCTGACCTATGTTATTCATTCCACAAATCACAAATAGCTACTTGCTCTAAGGTAGCCTAAAGATCAAAAGCATGGGTGCTAAAATCCTGGCTATACCATCTTTGGATTATGTGACTTTGAACATTTGCATTTTTGTTAAATGAGAAAATAATTCCATCTATTTACAAGGATTTTGTGCAGGTTACAGGGCTAATCCATGTAAAGTTAGAGTATTTGCCACCACACAGTAAGGTGTTGGGTTTAGGTCTTGTTATTATGACCCTGGGAGAATGCTGAATGCTTTAAGCAGAAACGGAATACAAATCTGGACTCCAACAACTTTCAGATAAGCTCAGTGAATCTCACCTTCCTATAAAGTCAACTTCTCTTGTTGGCTTGGCCAGTCTATTTTCCAGGATTATTAGGATGTTCAACTAAGATAAAGCATGTAAAGACTTTTTCAAACTTTACATAAGTATATCAATACATTATAAACATTATTCATTTAACAAACAGCTTTGGATACTGAGTATGTGCAAAACACTGTACTAGATATTTAACTGACAAGTGTCCAGTCTTTATGCCCAGGAATTTACAGCCTAACAGGTGGCATAAGCCATTTATACCATGGTTTATAATCCATGATAGAACATGGTAAATGCTACAGAAACAATGTATCAGTTCAGATTTTCTAAAACAGCACCAAGATAGGATTTGACATGTAAGAGATTCATTGGAGAAAACAGCATGAAAGATAAAGTGGGGAGAAGCAGAAATGGGAAGGAAAAGTCTTCTTAACTTGATGCAACTCAAATACCTGTGAAAGGAGAAAATAAAGGAAAGAGGATGGGGTAGGAAACCTTTCAGATGCAGTGAAGTTCCAAGAAAGTTTCAACCAGGCCAAACGGGAGTCCTCCAGCCAAAGTTGCTCCTTAGAGGAGTCCCAGCTCTTGTAGAAACAGGCCAGCACTAATACCCCCAGCTTGCTTAGTCACTATCTGGGAATAGCCATGGAAAGGGTAACCTTGGCAGGAACAGGTAGTGGGTCCAGAGAAGGAGCATTCAAGGCTGTCAATCAACTGTGTTTTCTCCAGTAGGAGACCCAAATGGCACATTTCCAGGTGGCCACAAATGGCAGAATAACAATTGCTGTTAGTTTTAAAGAGAGAAAGATTGTGCCTAAGCAAACAGAGAAAGGCTTCATGGAGGAGGTCACCCTTGAGTTGTGCCTTGAATGATAGTTAGGATTTGAATAGGTAGAGTCTTTGGGGGAAAAATACTTCTGACAGAAGGACATCAGCAAAGCCACAGATATAAAACAAATATTTTAAAAGCATGAAGCATGTTTGGAGAAAGTATAAGTGGTACAGTAGATCATAGAGTTTGTAACATTAGAAATAAAGTTAGGAAAGCAAATTGGAGCCAGATTTTGGATGCTTCTGAATGTCAGCATAGGACTAAAATTTTATTAGGTAGATGATAGGGGTCCATCAAAACTAGTGGGGTAGAGGACTCCTTGATGTTAGCTTTTTTTTGTTTTTGTTTTGTTTTGTTTTGTTTTTGACATTAATCTGGCTACTGACTGCAGGGAATAAAGAGGAACCCAGGAGGGTTTATTTGGGTGAATAATAAGAATTCTTAGAATGAGTTGCACTGTGTACATGGTTCATTCACTTATGCATTCTTTTATTCATTCAATAACTATTAACTAACCCTGCCAGACCCAGTGCTGAGCATCAGGAGACTGTAGTAAATTCCACAGTCCTTGTTCAACCTCATGGAGTTGTCACCTAGCAAAGCGTGCCCATGTGTTATTTTGCTTTCTTTATCGAAGTTTAATTTTTGAATAATTTTAGATTTACAAAAAAGCTGCAGATAGTAGAGAGAGTTCCTATGTTTTACCAGCTTCTCCCTTATGTTAACATCTTAGAGAACCATGCACATTTGTCAAAACTAAGAAATTAACATTGCTACAATGCTGTTAAGTAAACAGCAGATTTATTTGTATTTCACCAGTTTTTCTACTAATGTCCTTTTTTCCCCTTTTTTTAAAAAAAAAACATTTAAAAAATTTCATAAGTAATTGGGGAACAGGTGGTGTTTGGTCACATGAGTAAGTTCTTTAGTGGTGACTTATGAGATTTTGGTACACTCATCACCTAAGCAGTACACACTGCACCCAATATGTAGTCTTTTATCCCTCACCTCCTTTCCACCCTTTCCCCCTGCGTCCCCAACATCCATTGTGTCATTCTTATGCCTTTGCATCCTCATAGCTTAGCTCCCACTTATGAGCGAGAACATAAAATGTTTGATTTTCCATTCCTGAGTTACTTCACTTAGAATGATTAGTCTTCAATGTCATCCAAGTCAATGTGAATGCCATTAATTCATTCCTTTTATGGCTGAGTAGTATTCATAATGTATAGATGTATAGATGTATAGATTGTGAAGATTTTCTCCCACTCTGTGGGTTGTCTATTTACTCTGCTGACTGTTCCTTTTGCCATGCAGAAGCTCACTACTGGGTATCTACCCAGAGGAAAAGGAAGTCATTATATGAAAAGGATACTTGCATACACATGTTTATAGCAGCATAATTTGCAATTGCAAAAACATGGAACAAACCTAAATGCCCATCAATCAACGAGTGGATAAAGAAACTGTGATATATATATGGACCTCCATAATCTACCTAATGTATATCTATATATACTACTCAGCATAAATGAAAAAATGCTCAGCATCACTAATGATCAGGGAAATGCAAATCAAAACCACAATGCGATACCACCTTACTACTCCAAGAATTGCCACAACCAAAAAAATAATAGATGTCGACATGGATGTGGTGAACAGGGAACACTTCTACACTGCTGGTGGGAATGTAAATTAGTACAACAACTATGGAAAACAGTCTGGAGATTCCTTAAAGAACTGAAAATAGAACTACCGTTTGATCCAGCAATCCCACTCGTAGGTAATATCCTTTTTCTGACCCAATCTAGGATAGCACATTACATTTAGCTAAATGGTTTACAAAATTTAAAAACTGTACTTTACTTTAATGGTATTTTAAGGAATTTTTTTGCTACATATAGTCAGTAGAAAACCTCATATTTTGTATTCAGTTATGTGTATGAATAAAAGCAATACATCTTAGCCACTAAGTTACAAAAGTCTGTAAGTAGTTTTTTTCTTGAGGTCAAGTGCTTTCTCACGTATTGTTTACTCTGTTTATTTGCTTAGCATTTTTTCAAAATAAATGCAAAAGTAAATTTTGAAATGGATTATGTTTAAATTGGCAAAATGGTTGAGTACGATCTGCTGAGAGGAGGCCTGATTCTATCTACATGACTACCTTGGAGTTGAGTTGCCACAGCGAATCAACTTGCCTCTCCCCATGCCACTTGATAGGAGAATGCAGTCGAAGAGAGTAATATTCTATTCATCTGATTCCAACAGTAGCTCCTAGTTTAGAATGAATGCAGTGTTTTTCATAACTGTAAGAGTGCAAGGAAGAGCTGGGAGGTCATTGGCATAAAGTCTTCATTTTATCTCGATTACACAAGTAGAGAAAATATGAGAATTTAGGTCTCCTAAGGTTTGGACTCAACCTCGTTTCCTACACCAGGCTGCATGGGAGAGAATACCTGCATTCCCTGCCCCTCCTTCAGCAACAAACCAGAACTCTAAGATTACTAGTTGGACTGGAGCCCTTTGTGCAATTATGCATTACAGCCCAAGAATCATGGTATATCTATATGATAAAATTCATGCAGTCATTAAAAATACATGTTTTTGAAGATTTACTAAAAACATATCAAGTAAAATGTACAATACATACAGAAAACAATCTTTGCTTTTTGGGAAAAGCTGCATACATAGAGGAAAAAAATGGAAAGGAAATATACCAAAAATTAAAAGTTTGGATGATAGGCTAACAGGAAGCTTTAATTTTCCATTTTTAAATCCTGCAATACATCCAAAATTTCTATAATATATAAAAATAAGGAAAAAAGTAATCATATAATGAGAATAAAAAAAAATAATGTGGTGGTTTAGGGACCAAAGCAAGGTGGGATTTTACTAAACATAAGCATATAAGTGATAATAGATAACACCCTGATAGATTATCTGCCTCTTTGATGTCCCTTTTAGTAAACTGGGACTCCCCCTTCAAGAGTCACACAACACAGAGGTTGTCTCAGTCACTCAGGCTGCTGTTGAGAGTCAAATGAAATCAAGTGAGTAGAAGCCGTTTGAAAGGCATGGAACTCCCACATGAGTAAGAAAACAAATACAAGATACAGCTAACTTTCTACTAGGGGCCACACACAAAAATCTGTAGGCTCTGAATGATTTTGTTATTTGGTTTAAAAAACAAAATTGAGCCCAGTGCAGTGGCTCATTCCCATAGTCCCAGCAACTCAGGAGGCCGAGATGGGAGGATCCATTGAGCACAGGAGTTTGATGCTACAGTGAGCTGTGATCATGCCGCTGTACGCTAGTTGGGGCAACAGAGTGAGACCCCATCCCTAAAAATATAAATAAATAAGCAAATAAAATAGACAAAAGGATGAAGTAAGAATAAAGCATGGAGTAATACATCTTACTCTCAAAGCCATGCATTTGCTCTTCTCTTACAAATGTGTACCTTGGAAGGTCTCCAGTTAGGCAAAAGAAGCCTATACTTCTCCAGGGCTAGGACCATGGCTGCGGGGCTGTCATTGTTTGCCAAAGGCATTGCTTTCCAAAATAAAGGTGGTTGTGTAAGTTAAGAACAGAGCTTTCTTTTTAATGGCAAGAGGGCTGAATTGTTTCAGGAGTTTAAGCCAGATCTCATAAAATCTATCTCCAATGCCTCCATGCCCTCGGTTGCTCCCTTTAACATTTATAGTCTCCTTTTGAGGGTACATTTGTGAAGTTTCATCTCTCTCTGATGACTCTGTACCTTTTTCTCTTGTAAATTCATCCCACCCAATCTCCGGCTGACAGTGGTGCAAAATAAATGCAGTAAAACAATTCCCAGGAGTTCAGAACCATTGAAAGGGTTTCACCAAGGAAATTGATTAGTCAGGAATAATATGCCAGCTGAATTTTTATTCTGAGTTAAAGTATACAAAGAGGCTTTGAATATTTACACTCCCAGCTTTTACAGAAATCCTAGGCACATTTCAAAAGCTCATATTTATTTTTAGAACAAAGGAGAAATTCATCTAACAATGAAACCAGGCTGAAAATTATGTGTAAGTCAGAAGTATATATTAATATTTAGAATGAGGCTGAATACTTGTTGGCCAGATTCACTTTCTCAATTTTGCATTTTTGGAAAAAGAGGAAGGAAAGTGAAGATAAATCACTTAGTTGGAGGCATGGAAACCAGGCTGTTGTTTCTTTGGCTATATTGTTAGCTGCTTCTTTCTGTAGTTGAGGAAAAAGTAGTAATTCTGCACTTCATTTCTGTTATAATCATTTATTTTTATAGGTACCATATTCTGCTTGCAGAAAAACGGTTATTTTTCTTCAGTCCAGGGGAATGTCTACAGTGTTTAACACTGATTATCAGAAAATGAGTACAGTTTATGGACAGTGGGCTAGATACTACAAGATTGATGAATTTTTAAAAAATCAACTTACACAACAAAACTAAAATGAGTGAATATAATTTTCCACAACAAAAAAGTAAAAAGCATGATTATGTAAGGTTACAAAGTATAAAAAATATGCTGTTACAGTTAAAATAGAAAATCTCAGTTGACTGTCTTATAAACTAGTACTCAATGTCATAATTCAGAATAAATAAAAATATGACAAGAAAGACTCATTAGCACATCATGGCTGATGTTTATGGTCTCAGCGTCTTCAGGGCAGCTGACTGCTTAGTATTCCCAAGATTTCTTTCTTCTCTTATATGACAAGATGCTAAAGGTTATTATTCTTTGTATTTCAAAACAGTTGCATCAATAGTTTAAAGTTTCTCATTCTCTCAGTGTTTCTGAAACAAACAAAAAAAACTGTAGCCTCTAGTTTTAACCAAATTTAAATCTAAAAGAATAAGGGACCTATATATTCATTTTTTACATATATGTGTGTGGGATGGGCCTTCCTAAAGTTAATGGAAAAATAGAATGAAAAGATAAAAATTAAAAAGAAGAAACTTTGTTTCTTAACACAAGCTCCACTGAGTTCAAGACACTTTTGTAAGCAATAATACCAGCCATTTATCACATCCTAAAGAACTGAGGGTCCTGGAGATTTAGCCATGTCAATGCAGTCTTTTTTACATTATTAACTGAAAAACTATGGGAACCCTTCATAGATTTTTTTTAAGATTAGGAAACAGAAGTCAGAAGGAGGCAAATCAGGACTCTAGTGTCTAAAGACATTCCATCAAAACTCTCACAACATTGCCCTTGTTTGAAGAGAAGAAGGAGATGGAGCATTGTTATGGTGGACAAAGACTTTCTGGTGAAGCTTTCGTGGGTGTTTTTCTGCTAAAGTTTTGGCTAACTTTATCAAAACATTCTTATAGTAAGTAGATATTATTGATCTTTGGCCTTCCAGAAAGTCAACAAGCAAAATGCCTGAGCATCCCCCAAAAACTGTTGTCATGGCCTTTTCCCTTGCCCTGTCTGCTTTTGCTTTGACTGGAACATTTCTCTCAGTAGCCATTGCTTTGATTGTGTTTTGTTTTCAGGATTGTACTGATAAAGCCTTGTTTCATCTCAAGTTACAATTTTTTTGAAGAAATGCTTCAGGATCTTGATCCTACATGTTTAAAATTTTCATTGAAAGCTCTGTGCTTGTCTGCAGTTGACCTGGTCATAATACTTTTGGTACCCAGTAAGTGGGAAGTTTGCTAAACCTTAACTCTCCAGTCAGAATTGTGTAATCTGAAACAACTGTGATGTCTATGGTGTTGGCTATTGTTTTTGCCATTAATTGTCAGTCCTATTCAATTAGTGCATAAACAAGACTAACTTTTTTCTTTGCAAATTGATGTGGATGGTCTGCTCTGAAGGCTTCATCTTTACACCATCTGGTCCCTTCCTAAAATGAGTTATCCATTTGTAAACTGCTGATTTCTTTGGGACATTGTCTTCATAAACTTAAAAAAAAATCAGTGATGTCACCATTCTTCCACCAAAACTTCACCATAAATTTGATATTTAGTCTAGCTTCAATTTTAGTAGAATTCATGCTGCTCTGTTAGGGGCTCTTTTTCAAACCGATGTCTTATTCTTCTTAGTGCCTCAAACTAAATCCTCTTCAGACATGCTATAACAAGTTAGTATGAGTTTATTTTGATTCAAAAAATTTTTGAAATGCATGTATAATTTTTTCATAATATGCATTTTCCATTAACATATTGAAGACTCCTCGTGTGTGTGTGTGTGTGTGTGTGTGTGTATAAATATATGTATTTGAGTTCTACATTGTTCTCACTTCTAACTCAATGTAGGGATCATTGACATGTGTCTGCTATCATTAGAATCCAGAGAAATAACCTGGGAGAAGACAGCTGGCTAAGAGCAGGGAACTGACTGGCTCTCTGTATTAATGATCTAATAAATAAAAAATGTTCACAAACTTAGCAGCTTAAAACAACATCAGTTTATTATCTCACAGTTCTGTAGATCAGAAGCGGGTGAGTTGCACTAAGTTTCAGCACAGGGTCTTACAAGGTTGACATCAAAGTGCTGGCAGAGCTGTATTCTCATCAGGAAGCTCAGTGTGAAGAGTCTGCCTCCGAGCTCATTCAGGATGTTGGCAGAATCCAGTTCCTCTGGTTGTAGGACTGAGGTCCCTGCTTTCTGTGGACTGTTGGCCTGGAGTTGCTCTCAGCCCCTAAATGTCACCCTCAGATCCTTTTCATGTAGCTTCCTCCACCTTCAAAGCTGTCATTTCTTGTGCTTGGAGTTGCTCTGACTTTCCCGTCTACTACCAGTTGGAGAAAATTCTGTACTTTTCAAGGGCTCATGGGATTTGGTTAGGATCACCCAGGTAATCTCCTTTTCAATTAACTCAAAGTCAGCTGATCATTAACCTTAATTATTAATATAGCTGCAAAGTCCCTTTGTCATGTCACAGAACAGGATAACATCAGGGGACCAAGATCATGACAGCCATCTTGGATTTGCCTACTATGTTCTCACAGTTAAGTGGCCCAAGAATTCTAATTAAGAGCTGGCCTATATCTGTGAGCTTTGTCCTTGTGCAACAGTTCTGTCATTCAGAGATAGAATGTTCAATGTCTCCTACATCTTGGCCTGAAGGTAGCACCATTCTCATTCCCTTTCCCCTTGGCTCTAAAGCCTCATTCTGGGCCTGAAACTTCTAAGCAGCCACTCATGCTTAACAGAATACCTCCTGTGAGTATACTCCATGGAAACATAGTTCCGTGCCCAGGAAAAGTGACACTTTGTGTGATGGCTGACTGACAAATACGTAACATGGCCATGTGCTCTGGTTCCCTTAGCCGGCTGAGTTTCTGCATTGAAGGTCACACCTGTGTTTCATGTTTTATTTCAGACTCGCAGGCCAATGACATTAAAGTCACTGCTGAGAGCACTGATGAGCATGCCTCCCCACTACCGCTACCTTTCCATCAGCCACCTCATTGGATGGACTGCCTTCCTGTCCAACATGCTCTTCTTCACAGATTTCATGGGCCAGGTAATGAACGTATCTGTGCACATCATTTCCTCCATTAACACCTGTTGAAGTTCTTCTGGGCTATCCTCTAAGATTGGCACAGTCAGAATGTAGGAAAGAGTACCATCAAGAAGCACACTACTATATCCTGGACAACCAGAGGACACGGTGGAGCCTGCCAGTACTTAATCAAGTATAGCAAGCAGGGCAAATTGATGTCAGCTGTAGCAATCATGGCAGGCTTCAAAAATGAGGTACAGGGCTCAGGCTGGGCATAGTAGACCATGGCAGATCATCTCAGTGCTCTGGGAGGCCAAGGTGGAAGAATCATTTGAGGCCAGGAGTTCAAGGATGCAGTGAGCTATGATTGTGTCACTGTACTCCATCCTGAGTGACAGAGCAAGACCCTGTCTCTTAAAAAATAAAATACAATAAAGTGATTATAGTATGGTCTGTACCCTGAAGGGTGAATAGGAGTTAGAGGAATATTAGAGAGGGTGGAAACATTCCAAGCAGGAACAGGAATGGCACATGTGGAGATGAGTCAGAAGCTGATTGGTGTACCAGAAGATGAGTGGTGGGATTGCCTGAGTCAGTGGGGGCCAGCTGTGAGCTGGAAAAAGGGATGTTAAGGACCTGGGAGAGTGATGTTTAGACTTGATGCAGCAGGCATTCGATTTCTGGCAGGTCCTTGAATGGAGATGTGGTAGGATTAAAGGGGCGACTTGGTCATGACAGCATAAGCTCTGTACTCTAAAAAGGGTCCCTCAGGCAGGGACATTTGCTCCCCAGGTGTAGAGAAGCAGAGTGCATGAGAAGGGGTCATTGTATTTGTACCTGAACAGCCTTCCAACCTCTCTTTCAGATTGTGTACCATGGGGATCCCTATAGCGCACACAACTCCACGGAGTTTCTTATCTACCAAAGAGGAGTCGAGGTTGGATGTTGGGGACTGTGCATCAACTCTATATTTTCCTCACTTTATTCTTGTAAGTCTCTCTCTTTCCTAAGGATGTCTTCTAAAGGACTCTGGTCTAGCACAACTTGGATTTGATATTTCTATGTTTATTTCCCACTATTTAAAATATCAGATTCTTAATAAATCTATGGATACCAGGAAAAACTATTACTTTAGAAAGGACCATATGAAGCATCCTTTTCTCATCATGAATTCTAGGTGTCATTTTCCTCACCAATTACTTTGTATTTGGGATCAGTGAGTTCCTGATCAAGTTTCTCTGGAAGATAAAACGAATCTTTACAAAATGAAGTGTTGGATGGACAAGTCCCAGCAGGTTTATGTTCTACTGGAGCAAGGTCGTTGGTGGCGTTTCATAGACAGACTTATCAGATTTGTAGACAATGCAGAAGAGAAGGGATATTAACATTACAGGTGACAAAATCAGCATGTAAAGTGACCTTAGCTCAGATGTGCAGCATGGTAGGTTATAGGAGCACCATGCCGGGATTGGGGACAGTTGGCTTTTCTTCCCAGGTGTCAGCTTTTCTGAGCCTCTTAACCTCTACTTAACTAGGTTGCAGCTGTGAAGGCACTGAAAAAGGAATTTCCGCTGTTGTCTTTAAGTAAGTCCAAGCAGCTGTGCTGCAAGTGCAGGGCATCGCACAGGCTGCATTGTACTTGCTCCTGTGTGTGGATATCTCCAAGCTCTGTATACATTGAATTAAGTGAAAAGTCTGGCCTGAAAAATGTATGCAGTTCTCCTAATTATAAAGAGCTCTTCTGCAAGATTGTAAGAATAACTGACTTAGGGCTCTGGGCTTTGGACAGGTCTAAGGGACAGCATGGGTATGGCCTGGGTGAAGGAAGTGGAAAGAGTTGGGGAGAATACCTGTTACCATTCTCAGATGGATTCACTCTGTCACTGTCAGCCTGCTTCTTGTGGGGGTAGGGGAAGGGTGGATGTTTATGTGAGGGACCCTTCCCCTTCCCTTCACCTGCCATAGCACAGAAGAACACCTGCCTCAAGATAGCTTAAAAATTGAGCACAATTGGGAAAAGGGGACCTCATATAAATGTGGAAAAAGTTCATGAGCCCAATAATCATATAACCACAACATTCATTATTTTAAAATTTATGATGCTCATATAATGGTGCTTAAATTTCACATTTATTTAGCAAACTCTTTTCTTCCTCTTGGAGTGTATGAACTAAGAAAAATTCCAGGAGGATTTCAAGCACTTAAAATAGAATAAAAGCATGTTAGACTAAAAGGGTTTAGTAAATTATCCATCTTAAGTCCTTTGTGATTTCATGGGCTGAGAGGCCTATTTACTAGTACCCTCATTCTTTTGTTTTGTTTTGTTTTGTTTTTCTTCTTTTTTTAAGACAAGGTCTTGTTCTGCCACCCAGGCTGGAGTGCAGTGGCGTGATCATGGCTCACTGCAGCCTCAACCTTCTGGGCTCCAGCAAGCTTCAGCCTCCTGAGTACCCGGGACCACAAGCACATGCCACTGTGCCAGGCTTATTAATATTTAAATTTTTTTCATAGGATGGGGTCTCCCTACATTTCTCAGGCTGGTCTTGATCTTCTGGGCTCAAGTGATCCTCTTGCCTCAGCCTCCCAAAGTGCTGAGATTACAGGCCTGAGTCACTACATCCAGCCCTACCCTCATCTTTGTAAGAAAAAAAATGTGTCCATCTAAACTTCTTTTTTTTTTTCCTCAAGAAACCCTTACTAGGTACCATTCCATTAGTCTTGTCTGCATAAATTTTATGGCATTTGAAACTTTAAAGCATGTTATTTTTAGGTCCCTTCTAGTTAAAAGGCTTTCCAGTTACAAAATAAATTATTAGTTGAATAGTTTTCCAAAGTTTTATTAATGTATAAATCTATGGGATCCCTACCATTGTGAATTCAATCAACATTTTATTTATAAAATACCAGCCAGCTCTGCTCAAGGATTTTAGGGGCTCTCCATGCCTATAGGATAAAGTCAAGTTTCTGAGCTTTTCACAGTTTGGCCTAGTTCATACGTTGCCATTTTTCACTCCCGTATCAATTAATTACCCTCAATGACCCGCTATGCAGACTTTCTCATCTCTGTGTATTTGCTGCTGTTTTTAGTTTCTCTACCTGAACTGCTCTTTCTACTTCCCCAACTATACAACTTCTAATAACATTTTTAGACCCAATATTTCATTCAGGAAGTAATATTTAAGCGAGGTTCATTCCCTCAACCCACCGGGGCAGAATCAATCATTTCCTTTACTTCCGGAGCTCGCTATATTACCCTCTATTTTGAAGTCATCACATAACATCAGGAGCAGATTCAGAGTTTCTATCCACATGGAGGTTGGCAGGACAATCTGGCTGCTGTGGTGGAGAACACTGATAGGAGCTTGTTTCCAAGTTCCTTTTGTATACAGTGGGTACACGTATACCAATTAGAATAACAGCACTGAGTACTAAGATATGGCCAATTGTTCATACCATAATATCATACACTACTAGTCATAGCTGGTGCTGAAATCTATCACATTTCCTTCCAGTCCTGAAGAGAAGCATTGTGTGAGGATATGACTACCGCTGCATATCAGACCCATCAGCGGGCAATGCAAGGTTGGCCCTGAAGTTCACTGAATTCTTTTTGTGAATAGAGTATTCTTTGCCAGGCTTTCAATGTGTACTGAAATTACTTATGTTTCCAAATACCTCTTTACTTTCTCCTCTTCTGACATACGCACTTGGATAAGAGCATTTCCCTGATGGGTATTGATAGTATCTTTTAGGTCTTGAGGCACCTTAGATTATATTTTCTGCATAAACATAATTATTAAGTAAACAGAAACTGACATAACCTTATTCTCAGTTTTTAAAAAATTCTCAACCTTAACAACAGTCCTCCAGGCATGGTATAAGTTTAATAGAGGAAGCAATGTTGCCCACTTTTCATTTCCAGAGCTTTGTCTTCCATCAGAAAATGTGAGACAGTGTTTAGTTTCATAATTGATTAGAATGCACTACAAATAAGGTTGCTTGTCTACAAAGTGTAAGTCCAATAATTGTATTAATAGATATGGAAAATTTCATTATTGAATAGCCACATTTCAAGTATCTGTTATTTATCCCCCTGCTTCATGTGTTCCAGGAGAATGTGGCAGGGGAAAGATGAGGAATGTGTGGATTAAAAACAACTGATTAAGAAAGGAAGATAAAAAAATTTTAAGTATTTTTTCTTGCCATTGTGAAAAGTCTTGTAAAAAGTTTAAAGCAGAATTTTTTATTTTTAAAAGTTAGCCCTACCACTATACTACCATGAGCAAGCCAAGCTGACCTGCCGGAAGAGGAACCCAGTTAAGGGACAACCATCTCCAGCTCAGCCTGTCTTTTTTGCAATAGCACTAGCCACATTAATTGGATGTTCTCTGCATGCTAGGCATTGGGCTGGGTGATTTCATAGATGCTTCATCTCACTTGATCCTGGCAACACCCCAAAAGAGAGTTTTATTATTCCCAGTTTTCAGAGGATGAAGCTGGGGTGTTGAGAAGTCAAGGAACTTGTTTACCAAGAGTTAGGGAACCAGCGATGAGGATATGGTGGGTGCTGTGGGAGCTCCTTACCAGCCTAGGAAGAATTGGCAAGTTGGGGAAAGTGTCTTCAGATAATTGCACATGCTTTACCTCCTTCTCGGGTGGACTCCATTCAGATGGGACTAAGAAATCATGAATGACTTAGATCATCCTGTAAATTCTGGTTGTTTCTTTTCCCCAACCTGACTTTGGGTTCTGGGGCCAAGAAAGGCCTGTGTTGTTGTTTTGGTCCTATGGGGCCACAGCCCACCTGAGTCAGAATAACCCACACTTTTCTTGCAGCCCCACGGCCCCATAGTTAAGGTCAGCTTTTCCACTACCTCTCTTGCTTCTTTTTGCTATCCAGCTGTCTGCTAAACAGTGCCAGACCCTTCTTTGTAGAAAAAGAAATCAGACTAGCAAGGCAATTTCAAGCTGTCCTTTATGCAGAGGTCTTAAAAATGGTTCCGAAAGCCAGGTGTTTTCAACCCACAGATAAGGGGATTCTTTTGTTGCTGGCTCAGTATCAAAGGAAGTCTAAAAAAGTGAATGTTGAGAAGAAAGGATTGTCTAAAATTATTAAATGTTGTGAGGCACCGCCAGCTGTAATTTCTCCCTCTCTTCTTCCCACAGACTTTCAGAAATTTTTGTTGTCCTACATTGGATTAAAGGGGCTTTACTTCACGGGATATTTGCTGTTTGGCCTGGGGACAGGATTTATTGGGCTCTTCCCAAATGTCTACTCCACCCTGGTCCTGTGCAGCCTATTTGGTGTAATGTCCAGCACCCTGTACACCGTGCCCTTTAACCTCATTACTGAGTACCATCGAGAGGAAGAAAAGGAGGTGTGTTGTCATTGAACCTCTGCCTTGGGTAACATCCAGACTCATCTGAAGGCTGGGAAGGATGTGGTAGCAATGTGTAGAGCAGAGCTGGAAAAGAGGGTTGTTGAAACAGCAGCAGTAAAATGCCCAACCAACGGCAACCATGATCTGTTACAGGCATGCCCACCAGCCAAGCCCAGCCCAGGCCAGCTCTCCTGTCCTCCTTACTCTCAACCCCTGCACACTTAGGGAGATGTAGGACAAGGAGTGTTACTCCCATTTTTCTGATTAGAAAAAGAAGGTTCCGTGAGGCTGAGAAACCAGCCCACAATTACACAGAGACAAACAAGGGGGACTCAGGTCTTCTATAATCGCCTGATAGGTCTCTGGAGCACCTGCAACATTTCTGGATACCCACAATAAGGGTTCCCTACTCCTAATCTGCAGAGGTGCATGGTGGAATTTCTTGGCGTTATTTGTCGAGGGTAGGAAAGTCCTAGGCAATGGAGTCCAGACTAGATCCGATGTACAAGAAGGAAAGCTGGAATCACAGGTGGCAATCCTCACTTTGCTGCCCTGAATGGGACATGTGCCGTTTAAACCTTGGAACTCAACAGTGAACAAGAGTCTAAGCAGTGCTTATAAAAGAGTTGGTACTTCCACTCTAAAATTACCACCTCTTCTTATCAACACTTGCAACTTTCTTCCCATGAAAATAGGCATACCGTTCCTTAACTGGAGCAATGATGTAAAAGCTACAGAGATAAGTTTAATCCAGCTCAGCGTGAAACTGCAAAAACACCAAACACATATCCATGGAACTATAATTCTGGCCATCTTTTTCATCATTTGATCTGGCAGCAGGGCAGAGCCGTACTAGGAGTAAAAAACCTTTCAAACGAGAGTCGTGGCTGTCCTAATCTCCTGGCAAACATTGTCACCAAGGTTTCAATGCATGACAGGGGTGCTGCTGTTAATGGGATAGTCATCATAAAAATCCATCCCCCCAAAGAGAGTGTTACATGGTACTGAAAAAAAAAAAAAAAAAAAAACAAAAAAAAAAAACCTACACTTCAGACTCAGAGAGACCTGGATTCAAATCCTGCCCCTTCCACTTGGAAGCTGTGTAACACTGGGGATGTTATTTATATGTTTATTAGGTAACACTTAGAATGAGTTCATTTTAGGTGAGATAATATATTCACAATGATATACAAAAGTGGACACTGTGTGCTCCCTTTACATTTACTATCTCCCTCCAACTCCAGTGTGTTACCACTCTTAGTTTTTTGTTAATCTCTCCAGCATTTTAAAATAAAAACCAAGAAAAATTAAATCTATTTTCTTATTTTTATTTTAGTCAAAGGATAATATGCACTTTTCAGCAAAATGCTTTTTTTTTGGCCTAATAGTGTAGGAAATCATCATTTAAACTCGCAGATCCTCAGTTTCCTCAAGAGACAAATGGAAAGAGTGTTATACAGCTTATAGAAAAGTTAACAAGATAATGGATGTGCTTAGCATAGTGCCACCTAGCGCCTGACAAAGACTCAAAATAGGATAGCTAGCATTATAATTGTTACCATGGAGGTAATGATAATAACATGTGCATCTAGGGAGGTGGTGAGGTTGAAATAAAGTAACATGTAAAAAAATGTGTACAGGCCCAGCACATAATAGGCAGCCAACAAATGGCAAAGTTATCAACCAGTTCAGACCAAATATCAATATTAACCAAATAGTATTATGTTAATCAAGTAGCAACCATGTTTTGAAAGATTGAAATGCTTTTAAAAGTTGCTTCTCTTAAGTACGTCAGCAATTCAACATCCTTCTCAAAATGTTTGAATTTTTAACACTAAGAAAGAAAAAGAATGGAATATTTATTGAGTATCCACTACATTGTATTGTTTTTGTACTTGTGTGAGCTAAGAATTCCTTTTTAATGTTTAAATGATTGAAAACAATTTCAAAAGAAGCATAATACTTTGTGACAAGTGAAAATTACATGAAATCAAATGCTGGTGCCTATCGATATTCAGTTCAGTTCCACATTGTCAATTCATGTAAATTACATGAAATCAAATGCTAATGTCCATCAATGTATATTGGAATCACAACCCAGCTCCACATTGCCCCTGCTTTTGCACTACAATGGCAGAGTTGAGTAGTTATGACCAGGGCCATATAATCCACAAAGCCAGTGGTATTTACTATTTGGCTGGTCACAGAAAAATTTGCCAACCTGTGCCCTAAATGATAGTTCCTTGTGGGTCAAATGGTGTTCCTGTGATTTTTTTGCAGAGGCAGCAAGTCCCAGGAGGAAACCCAGACAACAGCGTGAGAGGGAAGGGCGTGGACTGCGCCACCCTCACCTGCATGGTGCAGCTGGCTCAGATCCTGGTCGGAGGTGGCCTGGGCTTTCTGGTCAACGCAGCTGGGAGTGTCATCATCGTGGTGATCACAGCGTCTGCGGTGGCACTGATAGGCTGTTGCTTTGTGGCTCTCTTTGTTAGATACGTGGATTAGGTCAATAAAGAGACAATGACCCTAACCTCAGACAGTAAAGCACATGGCAGGAAGTTGCAGCTCTGATTCTTAGGGTCTGTCCATTGGACACCCAGTATTGTGATTTCAGCCACGGTATCTGCCCACCTCTCACTTTCAACCAGTCCTCTGCACAACAGTCCCCATATTTCAGGCAACCTTTGCCTGGACTATGCCTCCACACATTGGTGGCAGGGGATAAGTGTGGGTGGGAGCACCTACACACACCTTCCTTATTGCATCTCGGTGCAGGGGTGGGAGAGGCAGGAGCTGCTTTCCACAGGGCATTACAGGCCTTGCTGACGCCTGAGAAGCAGACTAATTCCACACACAATGCTTGGATGTGTTCTATGAAGTGATTTGATTTGATTTTTTGCCAGGGGTTCATATATATTGGGGAGTCATATATATATATATATACACACACATATATATATATGTATACACATATATATACACACATATATATACATATATATACGTATATATATACACATATATATATACACATATATACATATATATACACATATATATATACACACATATATATATACACATATATATATATATACTTTTTTTTTTTTTTTTGAGACGGAGTTTCACTTTTCTTGCCCAGGCTGGAGTGTAATGTCATGATTCTCAGCTCACTGCAACCTCCGCCTCCTGGATTCAAGTGATTCTCCTGCCTCAGCCTCCTGAGTAGCTGAGATTGCAGGTATGCAGCACCACACTCGGCTACTTTTGTATTTTTAGTAGAGATGGGGTTTCTCCATGTTGGTCAGGCTGGTCTCGAACTCTTGACCTCAGGTGATCCGCCTGACTTGGCCCCCCAAAGTGTTGGCATTACAGGCGTGAGCCACCATGCCCAGCCGGGGGGTCATATATTTCATCAAATTCACAACTATTCAAAATATTACTAGTAATTTTTTCTCTGATATTAATTTATTCATATTTAATTTGCTTATAATTCCTATTACTTTATGATACCCCTGACAAGTCTACTTGAACATCTCATGCTGGAGGATTCACCACTTTAAAATAGTTCATTTCATAGACACAGTAAAAATATTTCTCTCTAGTCTGCATCCTTGTTTTGTCCTCTGGATTTGATATGAAAGTCTTTGGAAAAAACAGCCCCCTGTTTCTCCTTTGATCTTCTCTTCTCCAAGCTAAGTAGTTTTTCTTTAACCATACCTCTTCAACTGCTTTCCCCATGGTGAGGTTTTCAGCCACTTTAAGAGACAGCATGGTTTAATAAAAATCATGTTTTGGAATAAGCTGGTTTTGAATCCTGGCTTTGCCACTCAGCAGCAAACTATGTGATCTCCCCAAGACACACTTGCTCACGTATACATTTGTGATGAGAATTGCTATCTAAGAGAGTTGTGATGATTAATAATACATAACATTGGTTCAGGCATGGTGGCTCATACCTGTAATCCCAGCACTTTAGGCCAGGAGTTCAAGAAAAGCCTGGAAAACATAGGGAGACCCTCTCTCTACAAAAAATATTTTAAAAATTAGCTGGGCATAGTGGTGCATGCCTGTAGTCTCAACTGTTGGAGAAGCTGAGGTGGGAGAATTGCTTGAGCCTGGGTGACCGAGGCTGCAGTGAGCTATGATTGTGTCACTGCACTCCATCCTGGGAGACAAAGCGAGTTCTGGTCTCAAAGCAAACAAACAAACAAATAACAAAACACAAACCATGATATTTATGGAGTCCTTACCACTATTCTAGATGTTTTAACGTTAACACAGCAATTGTGGTGGGTGCTGTTACCAATCTTCATTTTTTAGATGAAGAAATGGAGGCCGAAAGATATAACTTGTCTGAAACCACACAATTCTTAAGTGACGGAGCTGCGCTTTGAGCCCAGCCACTTTGGTTCTGCTGCTTTCTGTATGGACAGCACTTAGCCTGGTGTCTGGCATTTGATTGGAGCTAGCGATTGTCACTACTGTTAAAGACTCACTGTCCTGTCCCCACTAGATCTGCCCCAGTCTTAAGTATTTGCCTACCCAACCCTGAATGTGCCTGACCAGTGCAGAATAGCCCACGCTTTTAGAAGTTAGAAGAACTGGGTGGTTCCTCTTCCTACTTGATTTAGGGTCTGGTAGAGTAGTTATTGTCTCAGCTCAACTTGTAACTGACCAAAATCTTTGGTGCTGGAAGGGAATGTGGAGAAGGGAAATGAGCTGCTTTTTCGAACTGGGATATTTGGGATTTGGGGTGTTACTTCTGTGTGTCCAGTGCCTAGGAGAATGAGTGGATTCTGTAGCATGGCCAGGCCCCTGCAGTGTCAGCTCATTTGTAGCCTCCCGAGAAGAGCAGGCCTGCTCTGATTGTTTTTTTGCTGGGCTTTGGGTCCTCCTTCAGACAGCTGCTCACATCTGCAGGGTCCAGGGCAAGAGCATGAATGGAGGCACGTGGTCCACAGCCCATCCCTCTTCTCTGCTTCCCCCTCTCTTCTCTCTGCTCCACATCTGTAGCCTCCCACCTGCCTCCACCCTCTACCGCTTCTACAAATGGCCACCCTTAACCACCTAAGGGTGGACAGACTCAGCAGCATGGGCTTTGCTCTGGAGGATGGACTCAAGAAAGGACCCATGGATTCCTTATAAATAAACTCAGGGCAATTTGGACAAGGAGTCCAAGGTCTCAGCTATGGAAGCATAATCTAGCAGGTGGGAAGATGGGGGAGGCACTGGCTCCAGGAGGCCTTGTGAACTCCTTGCTATGTGGAAAGGGGCAGGGGCAGAACAGGGTCCTCTAATGATGACACCCAGACCAGGGGCCCTGGCTGCCCAGGTCTAAGGGCAGTACCTACCGAAGTCAGCCAGCCTAGGAGCACAGAGCCATTTGTTGTCATTCTGTGCTGTAGCCTCCTTCTCCTTCCTAATCTCTCCAAGGTCTCAAAAGGCAGTGGCATCCCTGATATCTCACACGCACTCTCTTCCTCCTGCTACTGTTTGGGCTTCCTCTTTGTTGCTTCAATTCTATGACTGCCTCCTCTGCCTTTAAAGAACCCACTCTCTGTTGCTACTTGGTTCTTGCACCTGTGACTGAGGCAGTGCTAGGGGTGTGGAGCAGGGCATCTGAAATTCCCCCGTGAATCTGGCCACTTCTGGTGTGTATGTCAGGGGAAACAATGGAGGGCAGGGGCTTTTGCTAAAGTGACCACTTCTTCCCACTCCATGTTCAATCTCGTCACCTGCAGGACATGTGGCTTCCATATCCAGACTCCTGCAGTGTGTCCCATTCTCCCAAATCTCTGGTGTTTTCCAGACCCAGCAAGGCTGTCTTCTCAGGCTTCAGCATGCTGTTTTACTTATCACCCTCCAAGCCTTGCTTGCTTCCTCTCCACATGGGTGCTTCTCATTTTCTGCTTCCCAGTCAGGTCCTCCTATATTCTATTAGTACATTCACTCCCAAATAAAATAGTCTTATTCTTTTTACAGAATATATGCAAAGCTACCCCTTCTCTACTCCACCCTCTCAGCCCCCTTCATCATCCATCCTGGAGAAATAAGTTAATGACTCACTTAGAGAAGCCATTAGGGAAAACACCTGCTCCCAACCCCATTGTGTGGGATGAGGATGAGTAAATGCTCAGAGGACCTCATGGCACATAGCTCTTATCATTAGAAAAGAAACAGCAACAAGCCATCTCTCTTGCTTCCCCTACTGTACTTGATCTCTGCAAGGTTTAGAAATGGAATCTTCTCCAGGGTTCAGTGTTTATTTCCTGCCCATTTCTCCAAGAGCTGTTTTGATGTGTGAAGATTTGGGAATGAATAGGCGGGCCAGCTGGAAAGGTGGCCCATAGCTGAGGGTCATCTTATTAAATCCCCAAGAAGTCAAGTGTAGTCATCCCTTACTAACCACAGGGTACATGTGTGTGCCTGCATGCATACACACACACAAATATGCAAATGCTTATTGAATTAAACTCCCTTGATGTTTGAATGAATAAATATAATCAAAAATCAAAAGTCTTCCACCACATTTAGGTATCTAAGTTCTCTGCATAGCAATGACATATTCTTTCTGGCAAAATAAATTTCCTTTCCCCAGACAAATAAAGTTAGTACAAGGGCACATACTCTCAACAGAAATCTTGGGAAATCGTACAGGAGTACAAGAATCCCTACTACTTTGCTTCCTGCTCCCCCCACCAAGCATCTGACATTCCAGCATCAAAGCTTTTAGTCACCACATTTTATGAGCTTTGAATATCCTCTCTTCCTCCCAACCCACCTTTGCCATTCTGCCTAAATTGTGCCCATATATCTAGGCCTATCTCAAATATTATTTTGTCCAGGAAGTCTGATCTCCTAGCAGGATCAACCTTTCCTTCCTTTGTTTTTCTTTCAGCCTTATTTTGACATTCAACTGTCTTATCTTGCTTGTGCTCATGGCCGTCTGTCCTTTTACATGTGGAAGTCAGAAATTTCTCTGGTTCATGTACATGACCTCAGTACCCCGCACAGGGGTTGGCACACAACAGGCGCTCAGAAAGTAATTGTTGATTACAGTTGATCTGAGCATTTCCTTGGTGACCCTTTGTCCTTGTGGTAGACCAAAGTCACGATCTTTGATCCCTCCTGCCATGTTCTTAGAAGCCCTGAGCTTGGGATTTGGACAAAGTGACCCTTTTTACAGAGGTTTTTTTATTTTTTTATTTTTTATTTTTAAGACCATTCCTCCAGCTCCTTCTCTTCTGTTTTTCTAGCATCCATAGTCACAGATGTACATACTTCAACACCCTTTCCTAAAAATTGTGAGCTACCCACACATTATTTTACTGTTAAAATTGAAATGGCAAGGTGCTTTGATAAGACTTTCTCAGTAGGAGTCTATTATCAGTGTTACATATGAATCTGCTACCATGCTCCTGTAAGCTCTTTCCTGTGTTCATTTTTTCATGAATTTTGTATTTGGGGAACTTTCGTGGAGCTTCATTTCAGTCTTTGTTAGCCCAATTGCTATTCAATATCAATATCAATAAATGTTCTTCCCAAAGGGTGAAGAAAAAAATGGACTACTTCAAAACAAACACACCATTCTGTTTTCTAAAAGAGCTGACTTCTCAAGATTGCTCAGGATAGAGACTGGCAACTTTTGCTTTTGTGGGAAGGCATGAGTGTCTAGTCACTGCACTGTGTTTTACAACCACAGAAGGCAGGGCAAGGAAGGTGGAAGTTGTAGATCTCACATTTTGAACCCTGAATCTCTGATACTACAGAAAACTTTCAACAACATTACTAAACAATTCTCTGCAAGAGGCTCTTTCAACAGACATGTTTTATGAATGGCTGTTTATTATATTAAATTAACCACCCCAGTGGGTGCCTGCATCATTGATTTCCTGACCCCAAACTAGGTTGCCAAAGAGAGCAGTAGTACCTCTATCAAAGCTGGCAGTTGGATGGGTAGATGGATGTTTGATTCCAGTTCTCAGAAGAGCTTCAAGAAAGGACATTGTGAGGGTTTTAACACCTTAAACTGCTGTGATAAGAACAGAGTCGACATGAGAACTGTGTGTCTTCAGAGACAGCTCCATAAACTGTCTGGAGGCTGGGGAAGAATTTGTCATGCATGCTCACTGTGTAAAGCACTCTTCATAATAAATGGAAATTGGTGATGGTACTGTCCGATGGGAATTTCTATTTCCTACCTTCTCTTGTCAATAATATAAGCAATAAAGAAGACTACACCTGAAATTCTGGTTTTTCTCCAGTACTTTGCTCCCTTTAGGACAGAGTACATGGACCTTCTATTTTCTTTCCTACCCCACGCCTCCTTTTGAAAGATCTGACCAAGCTTCTAGGAATTTGGTTTTCATGATTCCGCGCTCTGCCATCCCGCCGCCGCCATTCCCCTTGCACGTTTCGGCGGCATTTCTTGCTCTTCTATCTAAGCCTACCCCCACAAAAGAAACGACACCAAAAAACAAACAAAAAATACTGAACCATTCCTCTACTCGCAGGTCCAGAGCCTCAGTCAAAGGGACAGCTTGATTCTCAAAGCATGGGAAGGGAGGAACTGCAGAAGTGCCCCCACTCCGCCCAGTAGAGCTATTGAGGATGCTCCTGGGCCCAGCTCACCGGCAGCACACAGACCAGAGTGCCTACAGGCACCCAAGGTGCTCTCAGAGGAAATGGAGCGCCTGGGCTTGCAGCGCCCAATGCACCAGCGCGCCACTTCCAACTCTGCTACCGAGTGAGCATATGAGCCCCCTTTTACCTTTCGGGGCAGCAGCCTGAAGAAGTTTCCCTATCCAGCCCTTCTAATCACACTGTGTCCGCTCCCTCCGGCAGTGATGCCACTCCCCAGAGAATCGCTCTCCCAAGCTCGTGACAGGTGTTATGCCCCTGTTAACGTTTGTGCTCCCCGGCTTTGCAGCTAGGTCCGGCTCAGCATGTTCCTGCTAGCGCAATCCGGAATGACAATCGGTACAATGACTCCATGGGAGGTGATTTTCCTTTGCCGTTTGTCCTGGGGGCGGACCAGAAGGGTCAGTTCTTTTTCTTAACTCCAAAAACGTTTCTTGCCTCCCAACTCAAGATTCCTGGGGCAGCCCGGCAGCAAGCAGGACCTTGGCGCTGCTGCAGTCTCGTTAGCCAAGTAGTAAATGAGAGTTTGTGGCAGCGGCTGCCCTCTCCGCAAAAGTCGCTGGAATAAACCGGCGCAATTGTGTGCGCATCATTTGGCTAAGCCCCGCTCCCTGTGCCAATTTCTCTACATTTTTGCTGCTTCTCTCTGCTTCTGGGCGCCCCCACACTGCCCAGCGTGGGCAGAGTAAGGAGAGGCGGTGGGGTGAGGAACCGAGGTTGAAGGTCCGGCCCGTGGGACTCGTCTCTGCCCCTTTGCCAGCTTCCTCTCTCCACTTGATTTGATGTCAAAGAATCCCCTCTCCAGAGAAGGTTCTCCGGCCTATACACAGGCTGCTCCTCCGTGCTCTGCCCATCCTCGTCCCACCTACTTCTTAAATGCGCCCCCCGCAACACACACGCAGGCTTCCTTAATCTGTTCACCTCCTTCACCGCCCGGGTGAGGCCACCTTGCCCCGACGGCGCGCCCTGGACCTCAGTAGGCAGAGCTGCTGGGCAGCAGGTCGTAGCGGCCCCCGCTGTAGACCACGACGCCAGGAGGGTAGTAGAGCAGGTCTGGCTCCGCGGCCGCTTGGAGCGGCGCCAGGGAATGCAGCCCCTGATCCTCGGGCTCCGGCTTGGTAGTGGCAGTGAAGGGGCGCAGGCTGGTGAGTGAAGGAGACGCGATGCGCCACAGCAGGCTCTTGAGCGCTTTGCGGAACTCGTGGCGCACGAGGCAGTAGAGGATGGGGTTGAGGCAGCTGTTGGAGTGCGCCAGGCACACGCTCACAGGGAACGCGTATACCTGGCACAGGAAATACTCCTGGCTGAAGGGCACCGCGTTGAACTTGATGAGGATGCTCCAGGCGGTGAGCGCCTGGTTGGGCAGCCAACACAGGAAGAAGGACAGGACAACGAAGGTCACTGACTTGGTGACTTTCGACCGTCTCCGGGCACTGGCTCGGGCCGGGCCTCCGCCAGCTACTGCGGTCCCTCTTTCAGTCCCCGCCAAGCGGCGGTCGGAGATGAAGCGCACCAGCAGCAAGTAGCACAAGCTAATGATAGCCAGAGGCAGCACGAAGCCCAGCAACACCTTTTGCGAATGGTAGAGACCCAGCCAGAACTGCCTATCGCGGCCCAGCAACTTGTCCGGGAAGCGCACCAGGCACAGCTCTTCGCCCATCACCTTGACCGTGGTGGAGAAAATGGCACTGGGCAGAGAGGCCAGCGCGGACGAAGCCCAGATCCACACGCACAGCGCCTTGGCCGAGACGCAGCAGCTGTTACCCAGGCTCCGGCCGCAGCAGTCGCCTCGGCCGTGTCCTCGAGTCCGGTGGCTCTTCAGAGCAGAGGCCACAGAGTGGTAGCGCGCCATACTCATGGCAGTGAGAAAGAAGACGCTGGCGTACATGTTCATGGACGTCACCATGGACACGATCTTACACATGGCCTTGCCAAAGGGCCATTTGAAGTCAAATGCGTTCTCCACCGCCCAGAAAGGCAGGGTGAGCACAAATTGAAAGTCCGTCAGCGCCAGGTTGGTGACGAAGAGGTTGATAGAGGACTTGCGCCAGCCCTGCTTGCTTTTCATCAGGTAGAGCACCAGCAGGTTGCCCGCCAACCCCAGGGCGCACACCACCCAGTACACCACACTGATGAGGATCCGCACCCGGGCCTCGGTGTCTGCGCTCTCTACCCCGCCGCTGCCCGGAGGATGTCCTGGCGCCGCGCCGTCCGGCAACTCCAGCCCCAGCTCCCACCACAAGTCCGCAAGCTGTAGCGACGCGTTACCACTCGTGTTGGCGGCCTCCAGAAGGTCTGGGACCAGACTGACGAGTTCTGCTAGCCTGTCCCCGCCTGCTGCCTTATTCATGGTGGCTATCCGGGCTGCATCGGCCATCTGCATGCGCAGGTATCTCTAGGTCATGTTTTGGGGGACAAGACCTAAGAGAACACGGTTCGCCCAGTTTTGTTCCCAGGCTAGCTAGCCTGAGGGGCGTGCGCCGAAGCTTTCAAAGTAGCTGCTGAAGATAGAGCTCAGGAACTGGGTACTAAGCGCGTCCTGGCGCACAGCGAACCAACCGCCTTGGACTCAGGAGTTGAGATCCGCGGCTGCTTTGGAGCAGAGTTGAGGAGCGCAGTCCCAAAGGCAAGTACTGGGCGTCCAAGGATTCTCAGACCAAGCTCGGAGTCCCTAGGTTCTTACATACAACGCAGACTTCCCCTCTCCGTGTCCCACGGTCACTGGGACACAGGCGCATAACTCACCCAGCCGCTCAGCAGCGCGATTTGGGACGCTCGCTCTCTTTCCAATGCCTTTGGCTGTTTCCTCTGGGACTGCTTAGAAGAGGTTTCCGTCCTTGGAAAGAAAGAGATCCTAAGGTTCTGTCCACCTCGCTCTGCTGCCTTGGAGGTCAGTGGGTGTCTGCGTCTCTCCGCGGTTGTCAACTCCGGGTGGGTTGCCAGTGGCGCCCACCAGTTACGGTGGCATTTGCACCGCTGCGGCGGTGGGCCTCAAGGAGCATGCGTAATCCCGGGGCGCCGGGAGAGGCGCTTTCCGAGGTGCTGAACCCAGCCGCGCCCGCACCGCGAGTTAGAGCTGGGCGGCCGGCAAAGCCCACACGCCAGCTTCCGTTTTCCTCCCCAAAATTTCAGCAGGAAACGGTCTTAACCCTTTATTTTACACCTGCAGGAGAAAGTGGGCTTTGACGTGCGTTTCCTCTTTCTTTCTTATTCCCAAACATTATGATTAGGTTTTTTTCTTCTTTCCTCACTCCCACTTTATCACTGAAATTATTCCATTTGGTGAGGAATGATTCTAAAAATATGCGATATCCTGCTTATTTTCCTTCCTAAAAGTAATGACAGTGGCCTTTTTTCATGCTTAAGTCAGATGATGTGTACTTATTGGATACATAAAAGGCAGCTCCGCCTCCTCTCTTTAATTAGCTGATCACTTATGTGGTGTCTGTGATTGTCAGGATGTTCAAAGGGGCTTCACATGGCAGAAGTCTGGGTTCAGGGGTTGCCCCTACTTTAATGTATTCTGAGACGTGACACAAAAACAGAGCAAATAAGTGGTGGGCCTACATCACAGTAATTAAATGCCCTAGGCCCAAAGCGCTTCAACAAATTGTTTGATCACATACAGCCCATGGTCTCTTTACCTAGATGCAGATAGAACAGAGGATACCACTGGGCTGATCGTGAACCCTCAGCCCCCTTATTTCCACTACAGTTCGTATCAGAACTCTTTTTCAGGTGTTTTTCAGACCAATGGAGGTACATTCTCAGGACTTTTCCAAGGGAATGAATGAAAAGCATTTGTATTACTTATCAAGCAGGAGTCTATGTAAATGCCAGGTCAATTGCTCTGGTGTAAATTACACTTTTAAGGATTTACTTTAAAAATTTGAAATGTTTTTCTCTGGGTCTGAGACTAAAGTGAAACAAAAGCATCTTAAGCATAATTGTCCTCACTCTTGGAGCACTACAGAACTCCCATTTTTAGCGATAAAGAGAATCCAATCTTCAAGCTGAGGAGACAAGAAACACTTAGAAAAAAGCAAAGAGAAAGAAACAAAAAGAAAGGAGAAAGAAAGAAAAAAGGAAAGAAAGTGAAAAAAGGAAAAAAGAAACAAGAAAAAAAGGAAACAGGAACAATCTTGATTCCAAAGGACATTTAACCCCGAAGAGCACTCACCCTGTAAGGATGCTGTCCTGCTCTGTCTGACCACTAGAGGGAGTCTGGGCTTTAGTAAAAACCTTGCCAAACACCAACCATTTCCTTTGATCAGTTCTTTTCTGGAGCAGATCAGCCCTGCCCTGAGGATTCCTCCCAAAGCACAGGTTGTTTCTGTGGACGACTCTTTTTTTTTTTTTTTTTTTTTTTTTTTGAGACGGAGTTTCGCTCTTGTTACCCAGGCTGGAGTGCAATGGCGCGATCTCCGCTCACCGCAGCCTCCGCCTCCTGGGTTCAGGCAATTCTCCTGCCTCAGCCTCCTGAGTAGCTGGGATTACAGGCACGTGCCACCATGCCCAGCTGACTTTTTTGCATTTTTTTAGTACAGACGGGGTTTCACCATGTTGACCAGGATGGTCTCGATCTCTTGACCTTGTGATCCACCCGCCTCAGCCTCCCAAAGTGCTGGGATTACAAGCGTGAGCCACCGCACCCGGCTGGACGACTCTTATCTTGGTTTTAGTAACTTTACTTTCACACTCAGATTTGACTTTATTTTTAACCATTTATTTCCTCATCAAATCTCTCCCTCTCTTCATCTGTCTCTATTTCTCTTTCTTTTCGAATATGTCAAGGGGCTATTGAAACACAGGAAAAACTAAGGCATACCCTGAAAGCTCTCTGCTGTTAAATTTTTGGTACGTTCACACCAATGACTTTCATTCCACACACACAGCCGCCTCTCAGTGCTTCTAAGCACATTCACGAATAGATAGATCTACTTGATCTTCTCCAAATCACATGTACATATCTATACTTTATGAAAAAATTATATGTGCCTGACTCAATTCATCTCATATTCATTGGCCACTTACTCTTGCCAGGCACTGAGATAGGCTGAAAGGCATAAGTGCTCTATTTTGATCCTCTCTGGAATTCTTTTTTTTTTTTTTTGACAGAGTCTTGCTCTGTTGTCAGGCTGCAGTGCAGTTGGCAGTGGCCTGATCTCGGCTCACTGCAACCTCTGCCTCCTAGGTTCATGTGATTCTCCTGCCTCAGCTTCCCAAGTAGCTAGGACTACAGGTGTGTGCCACCACACCCAGCTAATTTATTTATTTTTTTTTTTTGTATTTTTAGTAGAGACGGGTTTCACCATGTTGGCCAGGATGGTCTCGATCTCTTGACCTCGTGATCTGCCTGTCTTGGCCTCCCAAAGTTGGGATTACAGGTGTGAACCACCACACTTGGACTGGAATTCTTAATCTAAGTGAGTGTGCAATCAACTAGTGACTAAGACTATATTTTTTATTTAGTTTTGTTCATGACAAAGTTATCTAAAATGTAATAATTCATGCCAGATGAGTGGACAATAATTTTAGCTCTTTTATTATTTTCCTTTTATTTTTAAGGGATGTGTAGGTAATAAATAGTTATAGTTTGACAGGATATTCCAGTTTTAGGTTTTTTGAGAAGGGGTACTCTATGTTGGTATTTAAAGAAACCATAAAGGAGGAAGGGTTCAGAGCTTGTTATGTTACATACATGATCTGTTTCTCTGTCTCCCTTCTCACCAAAACTGAAACCAGGCTGGGATGGGGGCCTGGAGGAAAATCAGCAGCAAGAAACTCTCTTTCATTCACAGTGGCAGGGTATGGGGTCTTGAAATCTTTTTCTGCACTTCTTTTGTGTTCCTGAAGCCATGTGGGCCATGTGAAGCCATGAGGAGAGAATAAAATCACACACTAGCATATAACCACTGGGAGCCCAGGATCACAGAAGGGAAGAAGTCACCTGCTTTGCTGCAGCATTTTGCAGAGGAGGCTTGAAGAAATGAAGGAGTTTATCAAGGATCTCACCACTAGGAAGTAGCCACACCAGATCTAAAACATGGTCTCTTGACTCTCATGTGGTGTCTCTTCATCTATGCTTCATTTTCCAATTTGGATCTAACTCTTCCATATTTTGGTTTTTCGACAAAGGGGTGGGTGGTAGGCTGAATAATGTGTCCCTCCCCCACTAAAATATGTCCATTTCCTATTTCCCAAGCTCTTGGATGCTACTTTAAACAGCCAAAGGAACTTTGCAGCCACTAGAAGCTAAAATAAGCAAAAAGATGAATTCTAAAGCCTCAAGAAGGAATCAGCTCTTCTGACATCTTGGCTTTACTCTAGTGAAACTGATTTTGAACCTCTGATCTCCAGAACTGTGAGAGAATAAATGTACCTTCTTTTAAGCTATGACATTTGTGGCCATGTGTTGTAACAGCAATAGAAACTAGCAAGCCTGGCTTGCAAGGTGGGCATGCAAGCCTGGCTTGAACATTACCTAATGGGAAATGGAGCAATTCTGATTGGAACATCTTGATTAATCTTAAAACCAACTTTGTGCTGGACACTGTGTCATGTACTAAAGACTTAATGGTAAACACTATCTACCAGAACTCATATTCTAATAGATGAGAAAGATACTTTAAAATTTTGAATTCTAGTTTGGGCATACTGGCTCACGCCTGTAATTCCAGCACTTTGGGGTACTGACGTGGAGTTCAGGAGTTTAAGACCAGCCTAGCCAACATAGCAAAACCCCATCTCTACTAAAAATACAAAAATTAGCTATGTATGGTGGCGCATGGATGTAGTCCAAGCTACTCTGGAGGCTGAGGCAGAAGAATTGCTTGAGCCCAGGAGGTGGGGGGGTTGCCATGAGCTGAGATCACATCACTGCACTCTAGCCTGGGCAATATAGCAAGACTTTATTTAAAAAAAAAAGAAGAGGCTGAGCATGGTGGCTCACACCTACAATCCCAGTACTTTGGGAAGCTGAAGTGGGTAGATCACAAGGTCAAGAGATCGAAACCATTTTGGCCAGCATAGTAAAATCCCATCTCTGTTAAAAATGCAAAAATTAGCTGGGTGTGGTGGCGCGTGCCTGTAGTCCAGCTACTTGGGAGGCTGAGGCAGGAAAATCTCTTGTACCCAGGAGGCAGAAGTTGCAGTGAGCCGAGATCACACCACTGTAGTCCAGCCTGGCAGCCTGGCAACCAAGTGAGACTCTGTCTCAAAAAA